AAATGACTGCAGCCTTTTTTATGCCCCCGCCGTAGCGGTGGGGGCATAAAGTTTTACCCTTGTCCGTCTGTACGTACGTACGTCCCAAAATTGGTTTCCGTTCTCTAACTTAAGTTTGCCTCAACCAAATGTTATGACACTTATACACAATGCTTATTACCACAAAACACAGATCAAGTTTGAATTTTGGTGGCGTCACTTTAACCGTTCTAGAATTATGCCCCTTTATAAATGGAAAAATTGCAAAATTTTTAGTTTCCGTTCTCTAATTTAAGTTTGCCTCAACCAAATGTTATGAAACTTATACACAATGCTTATTACCACAAAACACAGATCAAGTTTGAATTTTGGTGGCGTCACTTTAACCGTTCTAGAATTATGCCCCTTTATAAATGGAAAAATTGCAAAATTTTTAGTTTCCGTTCTCTAATTTAAGTTTGCCTCAACCAAATGTTATGACACTTATACACAATGCTTATTACCACAAAACACAGATCAAGTTTGAATTTTAGTGGCGTCACTTGAACCGTTCTAGAGTTATGCCCCTTTATAAGTGGAAAAATTGCAAAATTTTTAGTTTCCGTTCTCTAACTTAAGTTTGCCTCAACCAAATGTTATGAAATTTATACACAATGCTTATTACCACAAAACACAGATCAAGTTTGAATTTTAGTGGCGTCACTTGAACCGTTCTAGAGTTATGCCCCTTTATAAGTGGAAAAATTGCAAAATTTTTAGTTTCCGTTCTCTAACTTAAGTTTGCCTCAACCAAATGTTATGAAACTTATACACAATGCTTATTACTACAAAACACAGATCAAGTTTGAATTTTGGTGGAGTCACTTTAAACATTCTAGAGTTATGCCCCTTTATTAATGGAAATTTTTTTATTTTCTTCTAAATATCAAGTTAAGTTTTAAAATTGGAGTTATCTTCCTTTGTCCATGATTATAGTTGAATCAACTACAATCAATCCTTTATACAATGCAATGTTTAATTTTGACTTCCACTGATAAAACACAGATCAAGTTGAATTTGGGTAGTGTCATTTTAACCATTATTGAGTTATGCTCCTTTATAAATCGAAAGATTGCAAAATTTTTAGTTTCCATTCTGTAACTTAAGTTTACCCCAACCAACCATTATGAAACCTATACACAATATTCATTACCACAAAACTAAGATCAAGTACAAATTTTTTGTTTCCGTTTTCTAACTTTAGTTTGCCTCAACCAAATGTTATGAAACTTATACACAATGCTTATTACTACATAATACAGATTAAGTACGAAATTTGGTGGCGACTCTTTTACCATTCTTGAGTTATGTCCATTTATAAACATAAAAATTGCTGAGTTTTTCGTTTCTGTTCTCTAACTTTAGTTTGTTTCAACCAAATGTTATAAAACTTATACACAACCGTTCTAGAGTTATGCGTGTTTACAAATAGAAAAATTGCTGAATTTTTAGTTTCTGTTCTCTACTTAAGTTAGCCTCAACCAAATGTTATGAGACTTACACACAATGCTTATTACCACAAAACTCAGATCAAGTTCAAATTTGGGTAGCGTCACTTTTACCGTTCTTCAGTTATCTCCCTTTATAACTATATGATATACAAGCGGGGGCATCATCTGTGTCCACATGTGGACACTATCCACATTTATTTTCAATTTAAGACAAAATATCTTATGGATTCTTGAAAATGCAGAAATTAACATTTTTTGTGTTTTGGGCAAAACTGATGAAAATAGAAATTATAAAGAGTTAAAATTTTCATCATAACGAAAAGACCTGTAAAAAAAAAGCTTTTTGTCAATAATCATATTCTAGTCAATAATGTTGAAACATGTCCATTGTAAAAGATGCACATAAACCTAGTTCAGCATGAGTGGATTTATTATAAGATTTTCATGTCTAAACTGCAGATTTCATCAGACCGTGATCTCAACTGCATGGTTCATTAGTCAATATCAATTTTTTTGCGGTTTTGTTTGTTTCTCAGTAAATATAAGCAATACATCACCTTTACTTGTTGTATTTGATAAGTGTGTGGCGTACATGTCTGTCTGGCAAGTTTGTTGAAACCTGGACCTTTTTTATCCTGTTATTTTGTCAATGCTAAGTTCTTCCAATTTGATCTTTTTCTCAGATACTATAGGTATTATAGCGTTATGTGGTGTACGGAATGAATCTGAGGTGTACATGTCTGTAAAGTGTACATGTTGTCTGACCTTGACCTAATTTGGGGGGTTCATTGGTTAATGTTAAATGTAAGTACTAAAGGTCTATTTCTCAGATGCTAAAAGCAGTAGGTGAATGATATTTGGAATGATTGTAGATAAACATGTATGTCTGGCAGTGTTCATCTGACCTTTTCCACATCATGCACATTAACATTGATAATTTATAATGGTATATGTATGTGATACTTGTAGTAAAACCTTCATATTACAAATCTTCAATCATGGTAAGTAAAAGTGGGCGAGCCATTCCAACGTGTTAATTCTAATTTAAACATATACAACAGATCTAGAGATAACCCTGTGTTATTTTGACCTTATGATCATTTCATAGTGTCATAATGAAATGTCAAATTCAGCATTTATATTTGAAGGGACAACACATCTACTTTGCAAGATATCCTTTTCATAAAAAGATGCTGCAAGGAATTCCTTGATTTTATAGCTTAGGACATGAAATTCTCCGATAAGGTAGCATCAATATAAACAATAACATCCAATATTGTAGTGGATATATGTCGATGTAAAAGTCTATGTTGCAATGTTGCTAACATTCAAGTCATTTAGTCTCTGCTTGATTATTGCCTCAATAGCAATCTTCTTAGTTCTTATTGTTATACAAATCATGTAAGCACGCTGTTCAAATCATGTCCATGACTAGAATATACACTTATTAAGAAAGGGATCACAAATTAAGCTGTTCAAATCATGTCCATGATTAGAATATACACTTATTAAGAAAGGGATCACAAAGTTACTTGGAACATTTACTAGATTATTCGGTGATACAAATACTATACCCCAACTAAACTACTAACATTTACTAGATTATTCAGTGATACAAATACTATACCCCAACTAAACTACTGACCTTTACTAGATTATTCAGTGATACAAATACTATACCCCAACAAAACTACTAACATTTACTAGAGTATTCAGTGATACAAATACTATACCCCAACTAAACTACTAACATTTACTAGATTATTCAGTGATACAAATACTATACCCCAACTAAACTACTAACAGTTACTAGATTATTCAGTGATACAAATACTATACCCCAACAAAACTACTAACATTTACTAGATTATATAGTGATACAAATACTATACCCCAACAAAACTACTAACAGTTACTAGATCATTCAGTGATACAAATACTGTACCCCAACAAAACTACTAACATGTACTAGATTATTCAGTGATACAAATACTATACCCCAACAAAACTACTAACAGTTACTAGATTATTCAGTGATACAAATACTATACCCCAACAAAACTACTAACATTTACTAGAGTATTCAGTGATACAAATACTATACCCCAACTAAACTATTAACATTTACTAGATTATTCAGTGATACAAATACTATACCCCAACTAAACTACTAACAGTTACTAGATTATTCAGTGATACAAATACTATACCCCAACAAAACTACTAACATTTACTAGATTATATAGTGATACAAATACTATACCCCAACAAAACTACTAACAGTTACTAGATTATTCAGTGATACAAATACTGTACCCCAACAAAACTACTAACATGTACTAGATTATTCAGTGATACAAATACTATACCCAACAAAACTACTAACATTTACTAGATTATTCAGTGATACAAATACTATACCCCAACAAAACTACTAACATTTACTAGAATATTCAGTGATACAAGTACTATACCCCAACTAAACTACTAACATTTACTAGAGTATTCAGTGATACAAATACTATACCCCAACTAAACTACTAATATTTACTAGATTATTCAGTGATACAAATACTATACCCCAACTAAACTACTAACAGTTACTAGAGTATTCAGTGATACAAATACTATACCCCAACTAAACTACTAACATTTACTAGATTATTCGGTGATACAAATACTATACCCCAACTAAACTACTAACATTTACTAGATTATTCAGTGACACAAATACTATACCCCAACTACACTACTAACATTTACTGTTAATATTCTAACTTTTATTCCTTACTGTTAGTTGTTGTTCTTGTGACGAGTTGAGCTCTTTACAATAGAACTTTACAGTTTGTACTTTTGCTGTGTTGTTACTACCATGTCTCGTTTTAATGCAGGGTTGAGGTCACACAACCGTCTTTAAACATGTCACATTCTTTATGTGTCTTTCTCAAGTCAAGAAAACCTGTAAATTACTCATCAAAGATACCAGGCTTATAATTGTGTAGGCCAAATGGGTGTTTGTCTACGAAAGACTTATTGGGCATGCTTGAATCAATAAAAATTAAAATGCTTAATAAGGTACAAGGTTTAAAAGCATTAAGGACTCAAAACTATGCAAGGATTTGTCAATACACTTTATCAATATATTCTTGCGGTAGTAAATCTTATAAAGTTCTTCTAGCTGTCCAAAGCCTTGTAAACAGATAATTCATGAATATGACCTGTACAATGATAATTAATGTTATGTCATATTCCAGTGGTTGTTTTTTTTTTTTGGTTTTTTGTTTGTTTTGATCAATGGAATAGTAATACTCAGGCCTTTGTATTTTCCTTTTTTGAATAGTTTCACATCTTCTGATATTAGGGCCTTTTACAGCTTTCCTTGTTGCTCATTATTTAAGGCCTTTAAATGACCTGTAATTGTTTACTTATTTGTCCTTTGGTTGATGAAAAGCTGTCTTGTTGACACTGATGACCACATCTCCTTATTTTATATTGTCTATTGTATATATTATTCATTTTATACGATTTCAGATACCAAATTAGACTTTAGCGATATTTTAGATAAAATGATGACACAGTTAGTGATATCAGTGGAAGACAGACGTAGCATTCAACAAAATGATGATCCAGAAAAAAAACTGCTCAGTATGATGATTCAAAGGGGAGAGCCTAATAAATCTGTGTGTATTGATGTTTTAAAGCAAAATAGAGGATATGAAGATCTCGCAGAAAAATTGTCTGATTCATCCAGCTCAGTGTCATCACCCACTAAAACAGGTAAGATCTGTATGTGTCATCATAAAACAGATCATGGAGATCCCTGGTGTGCGTTCGATCCCTTTATCAAAATTAGATATAGCTGTAATACACTATTGTACCATACGCAACAACTTGCGGCGTATATCAAGATTTGAAAGTCCTTCACTGCGTTTGTCAATCTGTGTGTCACTCCTATTGTCAGCACTTTGTCAGCAGGATATCATACTTTGTAATTCTGATTTATTCTGTCAACAAACATATCAAGCGACTCCCGATGGAGGGAGCTGTTATTCCAGCTGATGAAGTCAGTATCAAAAAATAAATTGCCCTTCTTTATTTTAATCCACAATTTGTCTATACCATGCTTTTTTTTTAGGAATATGCAATACTATAAAGAAATTCTTAAGCCTATGTTTAACAAGTAGACATTGTTGAGATAGTTATTTCTTTGTATGAATAACGGTGCATGCATGTATTTTATTGACATTTTGACACTTGATTTACATGAAAACGTGACATCATTTCATAATACTTTAAAGTAGCTCCTCCTGTCCTTGATCTAAAAAATATAAGCCAGTTTTATCAAAGGGTAATTGAACATATTGTGAATAGAGAAATTTAGTTAAGGTACCTACAGCTTTTGGTTTGTTACGCTCATGTCAATGCTAAAAGAGGGGGCAATATAGTTACACCCTGAAAATAATATTTCATCATGGCTTGCAATTACTCATATTTTACAATATTTGGTATTTTTCATTTCTGAAAATTAAATCAACTTTACTTTTTTTATATGTACACTATTTTTTCATGGTACAATGCCTTTTCTGAAGCATATTTCAGACTGTTAAAAAGTGTGATTTACCACTGTTTATGCCATACTGTTCTCCAATTGTATGGACAATAAATGTGCAACATTAAAAGGGAACCCCGTTCACTAATTAATATTAACAGCTACTGCATCAAGAATGATACTTATTCTACCCTTTTCATTTGTATGGTCTCAGCTGTTGGTTTATTTTCTAGCAACAAGTGTTGTTCACCAAGAAATTTTACTATCATGAATTTCGCATTATAAGGCACTTAAAGGCAGTAGTAATGATTGGTCGATTGACCGATTTGTAGCCAACATCATGAAAAATCTCTAGATGGGTCAAGGCAATGGATAAAACGAGGGCCACAAATAAATTAGTTTTTACAACTCTTTTAACTACCACCAATATTTTTTTATAATTGCGGGAATAATTTTGAAAGATTAATGGTTGATAACATTTTTTTATTGATTTGAAACTTTAAAAACCACAAAAATAATCAGGAATATTAGATATGAAAAAAAATATTTAGGATTGAAACCACCAAATGATTTCTTTGATGGCATATTGCCCTACAATCTCCATTGAACCATTTTACAGGACACTTGTATATGGTTTAAAAAATATTATTGATTAAAAGAAACTACATACAGTATACATAATCAGACAGATACTATCAAAATAAAAACATGACTGAAAGCAACAATTGACTCTTTCTATCAGAAATGTTCCCCTTAAATATCCATGGTTTTATCAATTTATTGGTTTATCCTGGAAACTATTTTTAGATAGTAGTGAATGAAAGACAACAAAAATTGTCACTGAAGAACTGATGTATAATATACATTTGTACATTATTTTAGAATTACAAGATGTTCCAGATTATAAAATACGTCTACAGAAGAATTACTTAGAAATAATCAACAGGTTAAAACATGACCAGTAGATCTACAACAACAGTGAAAGTGATTGAACAGAAAAATGAGAAACACATGTTTGAATAGAGGAAGAACAAGTTTTTAAAAAGAAATTTGTTTAATTCTCCAGAAACGAACCTGGCCTAAATCAGACCTGACAGACAAGATGGAGAGAAAAACAGAAGGATCTGATAAAGATATTTATATTATCTATCAACCTTTCAGACATTATTCTAGTGAAAAGTGCAATGAATGGATATACTGCAGTTTCATTGTATGATAATGAGTCCAATATAGATTCTTGAGTAATGTTATAGTTCGATGTTAACTTTTGTAGATTTTTGTGTGTTTTTTTCTCTCCTTCATATTTGTACATTCCTGAGTCAATTGACTGTTCATGGATTCATACAATAGATTGATGCATCATTCTGTTGATCCAAGCAATCTGATACTGTTTCGAGAGAATGTGATTGTTCGGTGCATTCTAGTGTGGATACTTGATTTTGATTTGTCTGTTGTGACATGTAGATTTATGAAGTATTTCAGGTATCACTACAGTCTTATAATGACTTGTTAGTTAACTTGTTTTTATTATTCTTAATTGTATTTGATGTATACTATTAAGTCATTTTAATCTTCCGTACGCTTCACTACATTTGATTGTTAAGTAATCTGGAAATATGAGTCATTAGTCTTATGTAGATCATTAAGACACTTGATTGTTCGATATAGTCACAGGTAAATACTTGAGTGGTTGTATTGTTCATTGCATTACTGATTTGTCTTATGTTTGATTTTCAAGGCATAATACTGTTGACTCTTGAGTCATTTATTGTTCATGGCATTCCATGATGTCATTTTTTGCTGTTCAGAAGTAATGGTCTAGGAATGATTTGAAATTAACTCGTTATGTTGTTTCTGTGCAATGAATATTGAACCATACAACAAACAAACTTTTAACATTTTGATTTATCGCTACTGATTACAAAATTTAGGCATAGATGGAAAATGAGAATTTTTACGTTTGCCTTCAGGAGTTATGGTCCTTTTTTACAGTAATTGCAAACTTAGGCTTTACTGTTTGAAGGAAAATTGACTGACCGGTGAATGATCAGTTACGGATGTTTGACTGATCTATGAATGATCAGTGAACGATTACTCATAGAATCCGTCAGATACGCCAAATAAGGTATGTGAGAGTTACTGTGACAACGGTCAACGATCAATCAGTAAATTAATTATATGCATGGATCGGACAGATATGTATATAATTGAAATTATTATGTAAAATGAGCTCAACAGTATTTACATGCGATAAACGCGGACCTCTTCAAAGACACCTTAACTCGTTAATTTGTAATCAACTTGGTCACAATAACTCATAAAAAAATATATGAATTACGTTTTACGCATTATATGTATAATGTATTACTTCTTTATTGGTTCTTTTATTTTTTGCGAAATAAATTACATAAGTGCAGAATAATGTCATGCTAAGAGAGTTTTTGTATCACTAAACAGAGATAAAATATTATCATTTGAAATAAGTACCCTATCTACCAATTATGCATTTTAATGTCTAGATGATGAAAATAAAAATAATATAACAGTAAAGATACTGAATAAAAGCTTTGTTTGGGTTGATTAAGAGTGTAATTATTTCTTTATTTTAATGGAAATCATGAACCGCCATTGGAATGTATTAAAAAATTTTGTACATCAGGATTGGTAGTTTTTGTCTCGCCTTGACGGAGTCAAAAAGCGAGACATAAGTATGCTGTTTCTGGCGGCAGCGGCATCAAGAATGTATTAGTTTGTGATTAGGTCTAGTTTAAGGTGAACCACTAGTGGTTGGCAAATCTCATTTCCATGAAGATTATTTGGCCCTGCCTCCTCAGTCATGGTCTATTGACTTTGAAACTTTTGCTTAGTTTACCTGTATTAGTTTGTGATTAGGTCAGTTTGTGGGAACCACTAGTGGTAAGTCAATGATATTTGGGATGCAGTTGTATAAGCATTGGCATATCTTATTTTAATGGAGATTATTTGGCTCCGCCCCCTCAGTCATGGTCTATTGACTTTAAAACTTTTGCTTAGTTTACATGTATTAGTTTGTGATTAGGTCAGTTCAAGGGGAACCACTAGTGGTAAGTCAATGATATTTGGTATGCAGTTGTATAATCATTGGCATATCTCATTTCTATTGAGAATATTTGATTCCACCCCCACATTCATGGTCTTTGAAACTTTTGCTTAGTTTTTGAAATTTTTACATAGTTTACAAATCAATGTTTGTGTTAGTAAGTCTATGGTATTTGGTATGCAGTTGTATTAGCATTGGCACATCTCATTTCCATGGAGATTGTTTTGCCATGTACCTTCGGTCATTGTTCATTGACTTTGAATATTTGCATAACTTACATGTTAAAGTATTGCTATTTTAATTTTAACCATTTGCATTATCAAAAGTACAAAAAGGTGAGACATGTCTCTGTGTTAACAGTTTATTACAAATAAAGATAATCATAAATATCAGAGCTACTAAAATTGTATAAATTACAGAGTATGATAGATGTAAAAAATAAAAAGATAACTGAATTTGACAATGTATGGAATGTTTTTGAAAAACTGTTATTCAATACTAGCTAATGTCTTTTTTTGTTACATTTTATTTATAATCTATTTTAAAGAAAATATTATTGTCATGTTATTTCCTTGATCTGTGTTGCTGGCTGTTACACAAGAAATATATATGTATAGTTAATTTTTCAAATGTTTTTCAACATGAATATGTTACATTTAAAATTAAAAAAAAAATATAGATAGGGATGTAACTGAATAAGCTTTTTTTTTGTTTGTTTTTTTTTTTTTTTCCTCCTTCTTCATTTTCAACTTTTATCTGTTATTATTATTAATTTATTTATTTATTGATTTCTATATTTTTTAAACATTTTTCTTTTGATCTATTCTATAGAAAATGACAAATATTTCCAATTATGATGTATTTATAGTAATGACATTGTATATATCTTACATGTAATATATTGTATGTATGTCAAGTATATGTTTTAATTGTTGGAAATAAAAAAATCAAAATTAGAAAGAAAAAAAAAATTTGTTCATATTGTTAAAAAATTTCTTTTTTTTATCCAAAAATGCAATGTTTTTAGTAAACTTATTCACGGATGTCATTTGGTTTATCGAGAGAAATGATCGTGAAAGAATACCTAACGGTGGTCAAGCATTGCGACTGGATCGTGAAAGATCTGGCATCGGATCGTGAATGTAATTTAATGTAAATTCTACTTCAAAATCTGTGAAAAAAATCGCTGAATTTTCAAAACGCGGGACAAATCCAAAAAAAAACATATGTCTGTCAAAATAATTCAACTTTCTCAACAATACTGTTCAATAACATAAAGAAAATATGCAGTACTTTATGAGAAAACACAAAAGGCACAATACATGTCTATAGGATTCATTAAAAAACACGCTTTTTGTACCTATAATTGTCACATTCCAATATATCATGATATATTTGAAACTTAATCTTTGGTGTGTCCGATAGTACAGTAAAATAAAAGTATTCTTTTCCCTTGAAACCGTTCATTTGTTTATGAAAACCTTGAATTTTGTTGTTTTTTCATCAAACTTGATCGTGAAAGATCAGGCAACGCATTATTTTGATCGTGAAAGACAAGGCGTGACCAGACTTAATGATCAGAAACAATATTTCTTTTACCAATTGATATAATTGCAACTGGTTGAAGAGTGTAACTATTTTTATAAGAACGAACATTAAAGCTTTCATTTTTTTTTATGTATCTTTTTTTAATTCAACACTTTGCCTCGAAAATTAAAAAAATAACAAAAAATTGGTCTAGATAAGTTGGTTTCCAAAAAGGACCTCCACGAGCGTAAATTGTCGAAAAGTAAAGGTATATATGTATCTTTAAATGCACTCGCCTTGGAATAAATGCATGTGTAGGCAATTTTTGTCTCGCCTTGACGGAGTCAAAAAGCGAGACCTAGGTATGCTGTTTCCGGCGTCAGTGACAGAGGCATCAACAATGTATTAGTTTGTGATTAGGTCTAGTTCATGGTGAACCACTAATAATAGGTCAATGATATTTGGTGTGCAGTTGTATTAGCATTGGCAGATCTCATTACCATGGAGACTATTTGGCCCCGCCCCCTCAGTCATGGTCTATTGACTTTGAAACTTTTCATAGTTTACATGTATTAGTTTGTGATTAGGTCAATTTATGGGGAACCACTAGTAATAGGTCAATGATATTTGGTATGCAGTTGTATAAGCATTGGCATATCTCATTTCCATGGAGATTATTTGGCTCCGCCCCTTTAGTCATGATCTATAGACTTTGAAAATTTTGCTAAGTTAACATGTATTAGTTTGTGATTAGGTCAGTTCAAGGGGAACTATTAGTGGTAGGCCAATGTTAATTGGTGATCAGATGTATAAGCATTAGCACATCTTATTTCCATGGAGAATATTTGGCCCTGCCCCCTCAGTCATGGTCTATTTACTTTGAAACTTTTGCTTAGTTTACATGTATTTATTGTGATTAGGTCAGTTTAAGATGAATTGCTAATGTTAAGTCAATGATATTTGGTATGCAAATTTATTGGCATTTGCAAGTATCTTTTCCATGGAGATTATATAGCCCCACCCCTGATCATGGTTCATTGACTTTGAAACTTTTACATAGTTTACAAGTTAATGTTTGTGTTTAGGTTTGATTAAAGGGAAATACTTATAATAAGTCAATGGTATTTGGTATGCAGTTGTATTAGCATTGACACATCTCATTCCATGGAGATTGTTTAGCTTTGTACCTTCAGTCATAGTTCATTGACTTTGAATATTTGCATAACGTACATGTTAAAGTATTGCTATTTTAATTTCAACATTTGCATTATCAAAATTACAAAAAGGCGAGACATATCTCTGTGATAACAGTTTATTATTTTGTAAGGGTTGTTACTTTCAGTTATGTGGAGTGTCGTTCGTGCATACATAGAATGACAATATTGACAAATTGAAATTTATTGTTATTTCTAGGCTGCGCTGACACAAGTTAAAAAGGTACAAAGATAATGTTATTTCTAATTTAAAATTGTTTGTTTAGTCTTTTCACAATAGCTATACGACTTGGATGACCAGCTTGAACTGTAATTTAACCGATTAAGTTCTATTCTCAATCCTTACAATTTTTACTGAATCTGCATTGGTATGTCTAGCGATATCATACCTTTTTCAGTTCGTGTGTGAAAAATTCCGCTTTGAGAATCGGACTAGTACAATTCAGGCAGACATATCTACTTACCGCCACTATTTAGACAAAACAATAATATGGGTATTGGCACTCATACCACATTTTCTTATATCTATATGCAAGTTTTAACCATCTACCATATCTAATAGCGAAAACAGCATCTTTCATTAACAATTTGAGATTGAACGATAACCAACCGTTTGTGTTGCAGTACTTTCTTAAGTTCTATGTATCTTTATATACAACGTTCCAGATGTGGAATGATTGCCAATGAGATAATTATATATTACAGACTAAAGAATACCAGAGCGCAGATGCTGAAATGTCTCGTCTGCTTTACTTATGATAGTACATATGTTGAACGTCTGTAATATTAAGGGTTTTTGTCACGCCTTGACGGAGTCAAAAAGCGAGACATAGGTATGCTGTTTCTGGCGGCGGTGGTGTCAACAATGTATTAGTTTGTGATTAGGTCTAGCCTAAGGTGAACCACAAGTGGTTGGTCAATGATATTTGGTATGCAGTTGTATAAGCACTGGCACATCTCATTTCCATGGAAATTATTTGGCCCTGCCCCCTCAGTCATGGTCTATTGACTTTGAAACTTTTGCTTAGTTTACATGTATAAGTTTGTGATTAGGTCAGTTTATGGGGAACCACTAGTGGTAAGTCAATGATATTTGGGATGCAGTTGTATAAGCAATGGCATATCTCATTTCCATGGAGATTATTTGGCTCCACCTCCTCAGTCATGGTCTATTGACTTTAAAACTTTTGCTTAGTTTACATGTATTAGTTTGTGATTAGGTCAGTTCAAGGGGAATCATTATTTGTAGGCCAATGTTAATTGGTATGCAATTGTATAAGCTTTAGCTCATTGCCATGGAGAATATTTGGTCCCGCCCCCTCAGTCATGGTCTATTGACTGAAACTTTTGCTTAGTTTACATGTATTAGTTTGTGATTAGATCAGTTTAAGATGAACCGCTAATGTTAAGCCAATGATATTTGGTATGCAAATTTATTGGCATTTGCAAGTCTCGTTTCCATGAAACTTTTACATAGTTTACAAGTCAATGTTTGTGTTTAGGTTTGTTGGAAGGGAAATACTTATGATAAGTCTATGGTATCACATACGCTTAAGATTATCAATGAAAATGAGGTCAACGTCATATATGAAACATGCAGACAGACATGTACATCATACAGCAAATACAGTGGCCCTTTAGCTAACAGGTATATCAGCATATTTATAAACATAAAGAACATAAAAAAAACATTGCCCAGTGATGCATGATAATGAGGTCAAGGTTAGTTGAAACCTTTCTAGTCAAAAATGTACACCTTCAATCGTTACTTACATCAAATACAGTTACCCTATAGCTTGACGAATCCGCGATACGGACTTGACCACAAAACGTAACCTTGC